CTTTTGAAAATAGGATCAATCTCAGTCCTAATGGCAGAAATACTAAATAAAATATATTGAGATATAATATATATTTTCTGCAAATCAATGAATCCTGAGCACTTTGGCATTATAGTCTGTTTAAAAAGCTGTGTTTCTTTCTACTAGCATGCTCATAAAATTCTAGTGGAAGTTCAAAAAGTTACAGCCAATAGCAAGGATAGTTTGGCGTCAACTATCAACATTTTATCCCCTGTAATATATAAGTGTGTATTTCAAATGTACACAATTACACACTTACATCAAGATATTATACTACCATAAAATTGAAAATGTCCGTGACTATAACTTTGAATAAAAATATCAGTTAAATTAAGTATGATACATCTATACAGTGGAATATTATAAATTATAAAAAAGCATTAGGTAATTTATTTGTGTTATAAAAATACTTGGAAGATACTTTTCTAAAAGAAAAAGCAAAATATAGAAGTATATTTAGTAATGCAACTTTTAGTACATTAAAGGAGGCTATATAAACACATATCTGAGCATATATATTCATATACATAGGTTTTTTGCATAGACTATGAAGGATAAAAAAATGAAAAGTGATTACCTGTTTTAAGATGAGAATGAATAAAGTAATTAGAAATAAAATGTTAGATTTCATCTGAAAGTTTTATATTTAGGTTTCATTTTTATACATTTCACCATATTATGTATTGTCAAATTAAAACCTAGCAAGAAGATTTCTATGAAAAGAAAAAAGTTCATTATAGCTACAGCGTGGATAAGAGCCTCATATAGCTGGCAGGAAAGTGCTTTTCTGCCCTTAAAAGAATAACGTCCTTTATGAGTACAGCCATGTCTGAAAACTAACCTGAAGCATAAGTCACATAACAGTGAGCTCAGTGGAGAAGCAGACAACCCACCCAAATCTGAAAACGTCAACAAAAAACTATGTGCATCATCTGCTTAATACACTGTGGTTTCTTATCAACCTGAGCTATAATCTGCTAGAAAGTCCTTTCTATGATCTGGAACTATCTTTCTGGACTGGCTTACCATCATTACATTTCTGTCCAATAAAATGGATGTCATTTCCCCCTTGAAATTATCTGACCTATCATGTTTTAGCGTCTATACATCCTCATCCTGTCCTTTGAAATACATTTCTCTGAAAACTACCACAAAAAAATCTTCCTCAACTGCTTTGAATTGCCTGACAGAGTATAAAAAATTGATACAAGACACAAAATCCTCTCATTTATTGCCTGGCAAATAATAGGAATATAAAAAAGTGAAATTCTGAACTCTAAGAATATTCTGTGGTTTTTTTTGTTTTTTTTTTTTTGGTACCGGGGATCGAACTCAGGACCTTGTGCATGTGAGGCAGGCAGCGGAACCGCTGAGCTAAATCCCCAGCCCCTTTATGTTTGAATGGTACTTAATACATTTTATTTGTAAATTAATATAACTATAATAATATAAATAATGAAATTTTGAAAGACTAGTATGATTTTATACTAGATTATAAAATTTTAGAAGACAAAGATTTTAAACGGTTTTCATATATTGAGTACCTATTAAAATATTCTTAAATTCAGTTCAATAGGAACTCTCATTTCATTCAGACATATTATATTTCTGTTTGACTGGAGAGTTTAAAGGAGTTTGGAAGTACTACTTTTAAATGTGACCAAATGTGGCTCTCTAGTAGTGTTTTGTGAATATTGCCCATATGAGACGTAGTCACCTTCCTTCTAGGAAAATCACTATAATTTTATTTTTATTAATGCTTGTTTGCCATACACAATGATTTATTTTCTGTGCCAGAGGATCTCTGTTTTAAGCTAAAATGTGACAGGTGCAGGGGGTCCTACACACAAGGGTGGGTCTGACACATAGGTCTTGCTACTTGGAGTGTCTGTGTCCATAATCAATTGTTAATCTGCTCAAGCATGTGATCCAAACCCAAATCTGAGGCTTTGCTGTGATGATGGGGAAAGGGATTATTTAACTGCAGAATTTGCTGAAAGAATCAAATATTAACTTGATGTTTCTTGGTAACTTAGTGGAAGCTTCTACTAAGGTCTGTTTACAGCAAAGTAAAAACAAGAACTAATGAATGAAAAGAAATGAGACCCAATCTGAATAATCCTGTACCAGCTTCTAGATCCCCTCATACCTAAGCTTATTGTTCTTGGACTTTTCATGACTAAAGAATGTTACTAATGCCTAGGCTAAATTGAACTATTTTACATCACTTGCAAAAAAAAAAGATTTTTCTCTACTACCATCTGAAATTAAAACATAAATGCATTTCCAAGTATAATCTTTTAACATTTTATAATATAAAAATATGCTTCTAGTATTTAAAGAGTTAAATTCATAGTATTAAATGGTTTTTAAAATACATCTATAAACCACTGATTATGTTAAATATTTTCTAAGTTTATGGAAATATCAAAATGGTCTGAAAATACAGCACACTTATTTTTTACCTACTGCAATTATTTTTACCGATGTACATCTGTTCAGGAATATTTTAGATGAATAGATACATCTCTATGATGGATCCTGCACATGAGGCACTCTCAGAAATTCTGTGTTTAAATACCATAGGTAGAACAAATGGGTAACAGGTAGTACACCAACACATCTCTCCTCAACTCTTCTCCGTGGTATCAGTCTCTTCATGTGTACCTGGAATCCTCAGTGTTTAGTTGATCATTTGAATCCTATCGTCTGAGACAACTTACTGAGATTCTACAGTGCAGAAAGGAAAGGCCTGTAGAGGAAGTCAAAAGTCTGTAGCTTTCTCTTATGAGTGCGGATTCTTATGAGTGCGGACTGAGTGTTGCAATAGGATCTCTGTGTTCTGGGAATTGGATGAATACATTTTAAATACAATACTGTGGAATCAAAGGAGCAAGATAAGGTCAATATTTCTAGGAGACTATTCTATAACAGAGCATTAAAAAGAAGCAAAAGGAGGAATCAAAGAATGATTTTTTTTCTCTTTCTGAATTTTGCTAAATGATGGCCCCAACTGGAAGGACATAATATTCTATTAACAAATAAGCTTGAAATGACTTTCCAAATGAGATCTTCTCTATTGTTTTATTTCCCCATAACTTGGTTCCTTTATATCCACTTAAAATCTATAAAGATATAGTAATTTATAGACTCTCATTTGTAACTGATTATCTTGATTTGATCAGTACATTCAAGAGATTATGAACCACTGATAAAAACTATTCTGAGAGTATTGTAGTTTTCCTGTCATCTTCACTAGATGTTTTTTGTAAATTCATTTTAAACTCTGCTTTAATTCATCTTTATTTTACACATACTCCATAAATATTAATATTTTAACACTTTATACAAGCAACACTCATTTTTTACAAAGGATTTGTTTTCAAAAACCTTTGAAGACCTTTCTTCATTGCTAGATGTTCATCTGGACATTCATTATTGGTAATATGTAAATATTACGTATGTTTATTCATGTGCTACTCTTTCATAATAAAATAAAATAATAACATATCAACCCAAATAATTTGAATTATACAACTTCTATGCATGCAGAGGTTCAGAACCAGAATACTGGAGAAAGATTTAAATAATGCTTTCCATTGTGAGGAAATGCAACAAATTGAAATTCTAATCATAATATCAAAGCAAAAGCATATTACTAGTGACTTCTGACACTCTAACAATAAAAAGGAGTATTGGACACTATGCCCTAAGCTCTATTTTTCCATAATCATTTTAATAGTCAACAAGTAACTATCTATACTATTGACAATTGAAAAGATCTTAGAGTGTGCTAGTGTGCCTGGTAATTTCCTACTAAATTGATCATGTTGAAAAACATTTATATGTGTCTTTTAAAGGAAGATAATAAAAGAAAAAGAAAAATTTGCTGCCGCTTATCAACCTGAACTATTTTTAATAACACAAAAATTCGGTAATATGGAGGCCATCATTTCTCCCCTCCAACAGTACAATAAAAACAATATTAGGGATGAGTGGATCATATCTTGGGCTTTTATTAAAATTCTTTCAAAAGTCCACAGTCAGATTTATTTTAGGTATTTGTCTTGAGATCAGCAATGTTTTTTATTTTCTGCATGGATGTTACAGCCCACAAAACATTCTATTAAAGCAAGAAGTCAATACAAGAGAACAGATCTTGTTAATGCATGATTAACAAATCTTTTTCATTTGTAAAGGTAATTATGTTGGAAAATCTGAAAGAAAAAAGCTGTATAACTACCTTAAATAACAAAAGTGTGTCTCTGATTTGCTTCTCATCATAGAATTAACCTTTAGTGAAGCTGGCTCTGACAATCTTTTAAACATAAAGTTTTGTTTATGTATTAGAAAATTGCCCTCATTTTACCTATGTCTCAAATAAAACTTAGCAAACAACCTCATTTGTCTGAATAGCAAATATTTTCCTATATTTTAAAAAATTGTTTGCATTTAAATGTCTATTTAGTAAGATGTGCATTTAAGAAACTTCAAAGGCTTTTAATGCTGTTTTAATACAATGTTTAAAGTAAGTATTTTTCACAGTGAAATTCAAGATGTTATTTCTTATTGTTATGGAATGCTTTTTATCTCACATTATCTGGATCTTGAATAATGCTTTTCTTTTTTTTTTTTTGATAAAAATCAGTCAACTAAAGGTGCATAATCCCACATTTTTTCTAGTAGCTATTTTTAAAAGCACTTACAAACTAAAACTATACTGTATTCTGTCTTTAACATTTTAGTCTAAATTCCTAGCAGCTGATCCTAGTAAACTATTTTAGAAAAGTACCTTAGATTTGATGGCAGCAAATATGAAAATAATATGTTTTTCTATACCAAAGGAAACAAAGTGATGATTAAATCATAGGTCGAAGCATAATATTTTGTAAAAATGTTTATATGTTCACACCAAGACGTAGGAGACTGCCAAACGTCTGGAAGTTTAAACTTCATGTACAAATAAAGTTAAAACTTACCTTTTCTCAGTGAAGACTTGTTACTGAAACCGCCATCAACTCTGAACTGTTAATGACTCGTTGAAGAAAAACGGAAAGCAGTAGAGAGAGTCACATGTTGTAAGAGAAGGCCTGTGTTGACTGCTGCTTAATTTCAGTACTAGAAAAAAAAAAAAGAAAAAAAAAAAGGCAGCGGGGTGGGGTGAGGACAAAAGTTTTAAATAAAACCACTTCCTGGGTAGGTACTGTTAGACATACATATCGTATAATTACCCGACATGACAAAATCTTGTAGAATCAACAATATCATTGTTCAATGTGATGACCAATTTTCAAATATTCCACACTTGTGTAAACATCATCAATTTTAATTTAATGGGGAAAATGTGTGATCAAAAAGTTTGCAGAAGGAGCAGGTTGCTGAGCACCGAGGAAACTTCCCCTTTCTCTGCCTTCTAGCAAGGGCTCACAAAGGAAGCCTGTCCTGTCCTGAGTAAGTGTGAGCATGTTCGAATTTTGTCAGGAGGTTCTGCATTTGAACTTGGGAAGCCAAGGAGTTGCCTCCAGTTCAGAGCCTGTGCTTCGGTTTCACTCCAGTATGAACTCACAGAAAGCTGCTTCAGTTAGCAAGTCATGGGGCTTTGGGCAGGGTGCAGAGAACAAAATCCAGAGCTCTTGCCACCCTCCCTGCATTACTGGTGGAGTAGCTCATGGGGTACACGCTGCGGCAGTTGCTCTGTCTGTGGTTCTCACATTAGTGTTTTCACTCTAGCAGTTTCCTGAGCAGTTCTGAATTGTGCTAGAGTGCTTTTGCCCTAGCTCAATGATTCTTTGTGAGTCTGATTTACAAAGAAAACATACAATGAAAGATCCAAAAGTTCATCATTCTGGCAAACTTCTGCATACCTACCTAATCTCAATCTTCAATCCTAGACATATGGTTAAAGTGTCTGGGGGATTAGCTACGGAATATGCATCTTTACTGAGCCATGGGGTTCAACAATAAGTTCCTGGATTCCCAAGCTTGGCTGGTTTGTGAGATTAGTGGGATATTCATAAAAGGAAAAGCTTCCCTTCCAAACAAATATACCAGAAAGATGAATTGTCTTTTGTCCTACAAACCAATTGGACTAGAAATGTATGTAATAGAGCACATTTTAACAGAATGTTTGGCATACAAAAAGACAAGTTTTGAATATATACTTGGCCTGTATGGCCCAAGTTAAGGCTGATGTGTCCCTGTCAATTAACCTATTTTTTGTAGGCCCTTCCTTTAAAAGTATATTTTAGACTGATTATTTTATTACCTGATAATTGTCATTCCAGTATGGATCGTCTTAACTGTCTAGATTCCTAGAGTTCTTTTATTGATTGTTTCTTCTTAATACTGAAGAAAAATAGAAAAAACATGATGGGAAGAGTGGAGAAATCAAAATTTAAGACTCAATTCTTACACAGTTATTCACTTAACTTTGGCTAAGTTACATAAGTTCTCTGAAATTCAGTTTATTTTTCCATAAAATGTGACATACAAATTTAAAGCAAAATCTTTCTCAGAGAATAAAATAAATGTAAATACTCTGAATGTCATGAAGAATTATTGATATTTGCATTAGCATGAACTGGGAAATAAGAAGAAACATCAAAAAAATTCAGTACGTCTTACCAGTTTAGGCCTTTGTAAATTCCATCCAGACTCAGAAATGTAGGACAAGGAATATAAATTAGGCTTTTCTCTTTGAGTAGGTCCTACTAGACATTCAACAGAGACAAAAACACATTTTCTTGCTGTAGGGTGGGAAATGAGTCACATAGGTGATGATACACCTGGGCTTGGTCTCCAAAAAGGGACACACTTCACCAAGATGAAGGCTCCAGTTGGTGCTTTGACATCTATGGTTGAATACGTTCACTCTTGGTAGAGACCAGTATTCACTTAAAGCTTGCTATAAGCCGAGCACAATACCAATCACTTTATGTTCGCTCTGTCTTTTAATTTAATAAAATTGTGAGCTAGCCAATATTATAATACCTTTTTTTTTTTTTTGCCCATTAAGAAACTGAGATTAGGGGCCGGGGATTTAGCTCAGTGGTTTCACCGCCTGCTGCTCAAGCGCAAGGACCTGAGTTCGATCCCCGGTACCAAAACAAACAAACAAAAAACAAGAAACTGAGATTAATTTGTTGCCCTCATTAGTGAAGAGTAGAACCAGGAATCAAACTCAAAGGTTCTTACCTCAGCGACTTTGTACTAAGTTACTATGCTGTCTCCTAAACACTTTTTCTGCAACACAACTCTAAATAAATAATACCAACATTCCCTTCTGGTATTCCTTTTCACCTCTTTATTGATGGAAATGATGCATTAAGAGGATAGAAATCTTTCCTGCCAATTATACTTAAATCGGGTCATCAAAACATTGTCTAAATATTAAATCTGTATCAAAGAATTTAAAAGAAACTAGGGATAAACATATACTATGTTCATAGATATGACAGTGCATATACATAAATCTTCCAAAAATAATCTACAACCTTGTTCAATAAATTCCTAATTATAATTGAAATTGGATATTTGAGGAATAAAGAAAGCTTCTTCTAAAATTTCTGTAGAAGAATCAATATCCAAGAATACTAGGTTTATTTTGAAATAAAAGAGCAAAGGCTTTTGCCTCGCCTGTTAGATACTGACATATTACATAATTATAGTGTTAAAAAATATTTAATGCTGACCCAAGAAGAGTTCTAGAAATGACTGGATTTATTTGATAATTTAATATCTGACAAAGATGGTGTAATAGAATAAATACAAAGGAATAAATTGTTCTAGAAATGGTGTTGGCAAGACACACTCACTAAGGAAGGAAAATAGATTTGGACCCCTACCTTAGGCCACATGCAAAGATAGACCCTTGGGTTCACTCTTGTATTTGAGGATGAAACCATGATGCTGATACAATAAAATAAGGAAAAACATTTTGCAAAATGGAAGCTTTTTAAGAAGTGCCTTTATATTACAAAGGAAAAGAGCAAAAGTATGTGACTTTAATGATACAATAAAGATTGCTTGTAAATGTATAAAGCTATAGACAAAGATCATAGAAAAATGATAGCCTGGTAGCAAATATCTATATTTATAAAGGATTTTTACAAACCAATAGAAAAGTCATAGGAAGGCTAACTGGGAAAAAAGCAAATGAGTTGAATAAATAAATCATGAAAAGGAAATGCCCTAATATCCAACCAGTGGATGAAGAAATGAACAAACTCTATGGTAATCACTATAAAACAAGTTAAATCAGCTCCCATTGAAATGGTAAATATCTGGATGAGAATCCATAGCAAATGAAATCTCATACATTGCTGTTATAATTATAATTTGAAGCCATTCTGAAAAGTAACCTGGCAAAAATTAGGAAAATAAAATTACATGCATGCAGTATGTTCCAGCAACCCAACTCCAACACAGATATGTGGTCCAGAAAAATTCCCCACTCCTCGTTCATCACCACAAGAGAACTGACGGAACTGATGTGGGTCTTGGGTTTGCATGGATTCAGTAATATTTGCATGTACTGTGTCTATGGTTAGGGAGAAAAACAGAAGTTCCTAGGCCCTCTGAATAGATGGTTTGAGTTGGATATTAGAGAGAATAGAAAAAGAGAGGAAAAGTTGGCTGAGGCTGAGAGTTAGACTCCCTGCAACAAATATGAGAGACGGAGGGGTTTTCCAGATTGGAAGAGGGCTGTGCTCCACTCCCAAACAGCTGCTAAGCAACTGCACAAGCTTTAATCTGGAGACCACTATTAGTTTACTGGGGACTTACTCTATGTTAGACAATATATGATAGTTAGCTTCATGTTCACTTTTGGTATGTATTGAATGTCTGTGCCATCTAACTTTTATATGTTGAAATCCTAATCCCTAGAATGATGGTATTTGGAAACTGGGCCTTTGGGTATGACTAGGTCATGAAGGTGGAGTTCTTATGATTTTGAGTAGTGCCCTTACAGCAGAGAACTCAGAAAGCTAGCTCGCCCCTTCCACTTTATGAAAATACAATCAGAAGGTGTAATCTGTGAGAGAGTGGAACCTCATCAGACACCAATATTGGACTTCTCAGCTTCCATAACTGTAAGAAATACATTTTCTGTATTTTTTAGCTTCCAATTTTATGGCGTATTTATAGGAGACCAACTAGACTAAAAGAACTGTGTATTACATACTAGTTAAATGGTTCATGCTTACAATTCCAGCACTCTGGGAGGCTGAGGCAGGAGGATAACAAGTTTAAGCCCTGCCTGGGTACTTAGGGGTTTTTCAGAGAACCTGTGTCAGAGAGAAAGAGGAGAGAGACAGAGACAGAGACAGTAATTGGATTATATATGAAATTAGATTATTAGATAGTAATCATTAATAAAGACAAAAAATTAAAGCACTGCAATTCTGAGAAAGTCTAAATTCATAAACTGGATGAGATAGGTTTCACAAAAATGGAGGCAGCCCTGTGGATTTGGTGGTGTAAAGCACATGTTGCATGGAGGGGAGAAGCAAGTGAAAAAGCTAGCAACAGGTATTGAGTCTGGCATGACTGAAAATTGTGTGGATATCAGAATGACTCGAATAAAAGTTATCCAAGGTTAAGCATAGGAGAAAATTCTGAGAAGGCCATGTGGATTGCCTTGTTTTTATTAAAATAGGGTGAAAAGGGAAACAATAAAATCTGACTTACTATTTTACAAAAATCATTGTGTCTGTTTTTGAATAATTGACTAAAGATCAGCAAGAGTAGGACCAGGAGATCATTCAGCAAACTATTCCTATTATCCACAGCAGAGATGCCTGGGACTTTGACCAAAGTGGAGACAGCAGGAAAGTAGGTGAAATGGTCAAATTGTGGATATATTTTGACAGCTGATTCAACAGGTTTTCCTCTTGAGCAAGCAAGGATAAGTCAAGTTTAACTGAGAGTGAAATGATTTAAGAAGAGCTGAGTTCAGTGCAAACACATGATTATAGATGGTACATGCTGAGTTTGAGATGCTTATTTGTTGTCTCAGTGGATTTGACCAATATGCAGTTAAATATGAAGGTCTCAATGTCAGAGAGAGAGAGACCAGTTTAAAATTATCAGTTTGGAAGACATCAGC